TGTGTGAAACATTGTGCTGGGCCACAGGGATAAAACAGGGAACAAGGGAGTCAAGATTCCCGCATTCATTACAAATTGACACAGCTACAGGAAAGGAAATGAGAGAGAAGCTGTGACTGAAGGTAACAGGGAGGCAGGGTCAGGTGGTCAGGGCAAGGCTGGCTGAGGAGGCTGTGTTTGAGCTGAGCTGTGAAGAATGAGAACAAAGCAGCCGTATAGTATGAGAAGGAAGTGTTTTATCCCCTGAGGTTGGGCCTTAGATTTCCTAATACTGAAGTTGCTAGAAGTCTCACTGTTCTGCCTGTGATGTGAAGTTGGGTGCTTTATGGATGGAAGCCCTTATTTAGGGAAATACCAACCCTCTGACTACCTTTCCCCTCCACTCATGCTAGAGAAGAGGCACAGAAAAGGTAGTTGCCTAATCTTATAAATACAACCTATTGGCTTTGTTTTGTAATCTATGTTGCAGTTCCTCTAAACAGCCCATTTCCATGGGACCATGCATTTTCCTCTTTTAACTTAAGGGTCTCAATCTTGCCACTGTTGATATTTTGGGTTAGATAGTTCCCTGTCTTCAGGGACTGTCCTGGGCATTATAAGAAATTTAGCAGAATCCCTGAGCTTTGCCCAGTAGATGCCAGAATTGGTATCCTCTCCCTTCAACCAAAAATGTCTGTCGTCATTGCCAAACAACTGGTGCAGAGTGAGGTCAGCTCTGGTTGAGAACTGTTGCTCTATTCCTCTGGAGCTTTCTACAGGAAGTCTTTGCTTCAGGACAGGGAGAGTGACCTTCGCTGGCCTGACCCCCAGAACTGGGAAAGGGGGCTCTATCTCCAGAGTTTCCAGTAAGAGGATTAGACTGCCAAGGTGATTGGATTGCATTTCTGATGAGCTAAGCTGCCAACATCTGTTTGTGGTAATTGAGGACAGCTGTGAAGCCTCAACACCCTGCCCTGTCCCTCCAGGTATCTGAGCCAGCTCCGGCCAGCCCATCCCATCAACCTCTCATAGGAAGACACTGGCAAGGTTAACACACTTGCACAGAGTGGTCTCAATCCAGACAGCATCCTGTATTTGATGCCGCTGTGTTGGTTGGGGTACACAAGCAGTGTTCTCTCTTGTAAACCAGCACAGAAAAAAAAAATTGTGCACAGTACAAAAAAGAAAAATACAACCAATAACAACACTTTCAACTCATGTATATTCATCCAGTGTATGCCAGGTCTTATTATAAGAACTTCACCTGTGTTGTTTCATTTATTCCTTATAACAGCTCTCTGAGATAGGTAGTACTATTATTCACCTGTTACAGCTCAGACAAAAATAGGTATAAAAGGGGTGGAATTAGAATTTATACCCACAGAGCTAATTTCAGAGGTTAAAAAATGTCCATAGGTTGTGGATTCCATTTTTAGAAATTCATTTAATTCTATTAAGCTGTATACACATATTTATTCACAATTAACCTAACATAAAACTCTGGAAGAAAATTATTGAAACACAGTCTCTCACTGGGTGACAGCATTAAGGGTGATTGTTTTGTTTTCTTAAAACTTCTGTTTTTGCTAAGTTTTCAATATTACATATTATTTTTATTGGAAGTCACAGAAATTCTTAAAACATATATGTCTCAGGGAATGGTAGAAAGCAGAGCAGTGAGGTAAAGGGATCTTTGAGAAGCTGGGTCTTCACTGATTCTAGGGACCTAGGTGACCACCTGACCACCTGGGGGCTCACGTCCCACAAAAATGTGCCAATAGCTGCCCTCTAGCTGAATTCACATTGATCGACACCACATTTTGCCCGAGAGCATTGCAGACTTTTTGGTGGGATGTTAAAGTTTCTCTGACTCAACTTTTTAAAACCTTCATTTGCTACTGTAAGGTCATTTTCTCCCAGGGCTGCCTGTGGCAGCTGCGTGCTCATCCTGATGGCACTCTGAACTGAGGGCTGGCTCACAGACCTTGGTCATGCAAAGACAGCGAAGACTTGCCTTTGGGCATGGCTTCTTAGGGAACATGATGATTTCCTAGGAGCAGAGTCACAGATGCAGCTACTGTGGCTCCCAAGCTGCTTCCTTTTCCACAGGCAGGAAGGAAAATTCTCCTGGGCAACAGCATCACTTGACTTGGAAGTGTGGACCAGTGCATGTGACCACCCAGGAAACACACCCATATGCATCACCCTTTGCAGAAGCTTCTCTTGGAGAGAAGCTGCCTTGGAAGTGGAATAGCATCCTAGTCTAAGGTCTAATGAAAACCCTCACTCTAGTTTTCTTGTTCTCTAAATGCCTCATCACATGTCGAGTAGACTGGAGGCAGTTGTATAGAATTGAAAGTGCAGGGTAGATAGATCTACCCAGCAATTCTCCTGGAGAGAGTCTGGCTTGGACTCATGGTGCCATTGTTGGGATAAGGGTCCCCCTCTCTTCACTCATGACCATTCCAGGCCCTCAAAGGGAAATGAAGAAAGATGTGGTTTAGCATTTTTCTCATGAAGGGCAGGGGTGATCAGAGAAGTAGGAAGCTGTCAGGAGGCACTCATGTTTTTCAGAGACACATTGTCCCTGTTAACTTAAAACTCTTAGTTAATAGTGGCTCCAGGCATGTGCACTGATATCGTGCCTTTAAACTCAGTCAACACCCTGTTGCTGACAGTTGCAGGCTAATTAAAACCAACCAGGCCTCAAGCCCCTTTCTTGGTGATTTCCTTGGATTTCCCAGGTTAGTTCCTAGCCCGATCTTCCCTAAGGTGTCCCACACAATGCTGACACATACACAGCTCTCCTCTTTGCTCTCATGTGCAGCCTTGGGTTGTGCACATTCACCTTCTCTCTCTTTTTTTCTTTAATATTTTATTTATTTATTTGAAAGGCAGAGTTACAGAGAGGCAGAGGCAGAGAGAGAGAGAGAGAGAAAGAGAGAAAGAGAAAAAGAGAGAAAGAGGGAGAGAGTCTTCCATCCACTGGTTCACTCCCCAGTTGGCCACAATGGCCGGAGCTGTGCCAATCTGAAGTCAGGAGCCAGGAGCTTCTTTCGGGTCTCCCTCGTGGGTGCAGGGTCCTAAGGACTTGGGCCATCTTCCAGTGTTTTCCCAGGCCATAGCAGAGAGCTGGATCAGAAGTGGAGCAGCAGGGACTCGAATTGGTGCCCATATGGATGCCTGCACGGCAGGTGGCGGCTTTACCCACTAGCCCACTAGCCACAGCGCTGACCCCACCTTCTCTGTTCCTAGCACTCGGTTTCCCTAGGATGCTGATGCTGATGAAGCCATTGCTCTGCTGGAGCATGAACAGGAAACATTTATTTTTTTCTGTGAACCTTTAGTCATGCTATGACAAAAATATTTCTCAAACCCTAATGACAAATTCTATAATTTCCTGGCCATTTTTAGATGCTGAAGGTCAAGTTCTATTTAAAACTTAATATGATTTCAATTTTATCCCATCCCCGTTCCTACTTGGCACAGGTCTGACCCAGTGTTTGAAGCCCAAGATTCTTTTATTTTCCCACATCTCTCACCTTGGCGCTTTGTGATTGAGTGTGGGTGGAAAGAGCCTTCATTAAGGTGCCATCTCCTCTTTCTCTCTTTGTTAGATTTATCTTGCCTGGGTTGTAGGTCTGGAAGAGATGTTGGAGGCAGGTGTAATTGGTCATGGTAGCCAGCTGCACATCACAGTGTGGGGCTAATTTTGGATATCTCCAGGGTCAGTGTGGTTCTGCCTCCTGGTGACTTTCTGTGGCTGGTGGATTTAATTGTCAGCTTACACCAGTCCTTTGCATGACTGAGGTTCACCTAGAAGGGAAAGCCATGTCCTCCAAGACTTCTTTTTTAAAGTAATTTAGTCTTTTTTTTTTTTTTTTTGACAGAGTGGACAGTGAGAGAGAGAGAGAGAGAAAGGTCTTCCTTTGCCGTTGGTTCACCCTCCAATCGCCGCTGCGGCTGGCGCGCTGCGGCTGGCGCACCGTGCTGATCTGAAGCCAGGAGCCAGGTGCTTCTCCTGGTCTCCCATGCAGGTGCAGGGCCCAAGCACTTGGGCCATCCTCCACTGCACTCCCTGGCCACAGCAGAGAGCTGGCCTGGAAGAGGGGCAACCGGGACAGCATCCGGCACCCCAACCGGGACTACAACCCGGTGTGCCAGCGCTGCTAGGCAGAGGATTAGCCTGTTGAGCCGCGGCGCCGGCCCTCCAAGACTTTTGAGCTGAGTCTGTATCCCAAACTCATTTCCAGGAGGACAGCTCCACTCTCGGTGGCCACCAGGATGTCCCTGGGCCTCCTGTTTTCCTTTATTTATTTATTTATTTATTTTTTCAAAGAAACTTTTCTTCATGGTCTTTCATATGATAAAGCTGCTGAGATCTTTTCTGCATGAGACTGGTGTGGAAGGCTACCATCCTTTCTTATCAGGCACCTGTAGCATAGTTCCTTCTTACCCTGTTGAAATGGGCCTCTCTGCCAAGCTTTGCAACTTTAAGTGGGCACTAATCTCTGTGTTCCAGAATATAACCTATCCTCAAGGGTGTAGGTCAAGGTCTCCCGACAACTCACTGTGCTAGCTGCAGAAGATCTGCTCTGTAGCCTTGAAGGCTCCATCCAGGGAGAAAGATGCTGTGTCTCTGTCTGGAATGTACTCCTAATCTTTCCAGGGATACTTCTGAAGCCCTCTGTCCTTTCTCTTGGAGATAGGGACGGCTATGTTTAATATGTATTAACTGAGTAATAGGTTATTGAGGGAATGCTTTGTTAAAAGAGTGAGCTCTCTCTTTGGCACGCTTGTTCTGTCTGGCCATGTGATGCCGTTTGCCATGTCCCAGCTGGAAGGGCCCTTATCAGGTGCTTAACAGACATCAGCGTCATGCTGTTGGACTTCTGAGCCTGCAGAACCATAAGCCAAATAAACTTTCTTAAAAATTTTTCCAGTCTGTGATATTCATTTATAGTAACAGAAAATGGGCTAGAACAGGGATATGACATCTTTTTTTTTTTTTTTTTTTTCACATCATCTCTCATAGGCTTTTATTTAAAATAAGTGGCCCGGGATAAACGAGCTGCCACGTTAGGCAGCAGGCTTCTTGTCTTCCGGGCCGGCCCTCTTGTCGGCAGCCTTCTTGTCTGCAGCTGGCTTCTTGGCGGCAGTGGCCTTCCTCCCCACCACGGGCTTCTTCTTTTGCTTCATGCCCACGGCCCTGGGCTTCTTCACCTTCTTCCCCACCACAGGCTTCTTCTTGGCTGGCGCCTCCTTCGGGTCGGATTTGGCTGCTAGTGCCGCAGCCGCCCTCTCCACGCGGAGCTTGTGGTTCCGGGCCTGCCGCAGGATGGTGTTGCGCCGCATGGTCTTTGCATACGGGTTCAGCTTCAACATGATCCTCAGGTTCTTCAGCGGGTTCTTCTTCAGGACGCGGCGATGGATCTTCTTGCGTGGTGCTCGGAGCGCTCTCTGGATCTCTGGGCTCTTCAAGATTCTGCTGAGGTCTGTGTTGAGCATCTTGTGCATGGGAAGGTTGTAGTTGCTCTTGAGGGACGCGGCTTTACGCCAAGTGCCGTACAAGTCGTCCAGCTTCCGGAAGGCACTCTCCGTCCAGATGCAGAAGCGCCCCACGTGCCCGCCGGGTGCGAGCTTCAGGATGTTCAGCTTGGTCACGTTGAGTAGAGTGATCCCAGGGATGTTCCGGAAGGCCTTGACGATGCCGTTGTCCTCATTGTAGATGACGCAGGGGCCCCTGCGCTGGATCCTCTGGCGGTTTCTCATTTTGCCCTTGCCAGCCCTCATCCAATGAGAGGCGTACACCTTCTTGATGGGGATATGACATCTTATCACAGACCTGCATGATCCAACCAGGCCGTGAGCCTGATAACTCTGCTCCCTCCCACTCTGTCATCTCCAGCGTTGTCTTTCACAGACTGAGAAGGGATGGTGGTTTGTGGCTGCGGATGGTGTGGAAGGTGGAGGTAAATTCAGGTTTAGTAATCTTTGAGGTAGATACCTGGCCCTGGGTGTTGTCATTTGTGTTTAGAACGTAGGGTTTTGAAGCATCTTTGTACTCAGTTTAGGTCTTTGTTGTGAATTTTGGGGACCCACAAAAATCGCTATAAACCTTCTGTTGTTTCAGCTCAAATTCCTTAAATGCTACTTACATAACAGGTTTTGTGCTGGAATCTGCTCTGATGAGTTTGTCTACCTCCACAGTGATCCTATGAGGGAGAAACTATTATCATCATCAGGCTTATTTATGAAGGAGGTGGCTAAGACACACAGACCTTGTGTAAAAGGTCCACGGTTATGCAGTTAGTAAGTGATACAACTAAGATTTGAACCTGGCAATCTGATTCCAGAAACTGAATTGAGAAGTTAGCTTAAATTCTTTCCTGCCCCTGTCTATTCATGACCCTCCATCTTCATGCACCTGGCAGCTTTGGATGCTTGCCTCTTCCCTTTCCCTAACTCACTAGAACTTAGCTGCTCACTGACTCCTGGGTCCTCATTATGGTTTCATTCCATCTAGCTGACTGGTCTCCCTAAAGGGATGGTTTAAATACTAGGTAAGACATAAGCCTGGAGCAACAGACCAATAAATTCAGGCAGAAGTTGGCTGGGGAAAAGCAAGGTAGAACACTGAGGTTGGCATTGTTTTCTGCTTCAAAAAATACCAGACCCTGAAGAAAAGTGAGCAAGAAGGAAATGAGAAGAGAGTGGGAGAGGACTGTTGTTACTGCATGCACACAAAGGAGGAGCACACCTATGGCAATTCCAAACATTTGCACAAGCTACAGAATATCAAGCTAGGGTATTTGAATTCAAATTCTCGGTCAGCCAGTTACTAACTAAGCAACTCAGAGGTGTTCAGTTATTGTAATAGAACTATGGCTTCTTTTTTTTTTTTCTAAAATAAGAAAGATTCCCTTTTCCTGTTTCATAGGGTTGTAGTGTGCCACAGATGGGATAACATAAGGGAAAGTACTTTGCACCCTGATATAAAAAATTAGAATTATTATTATCTAGAATGATGCTTTGGTGTGTTGGATTGTTGAATAAATACACACATTTTTATTGAAAGTTTATCATATGTTAAGAAAGTGTTGGACTCTACTGTTGGTAGAATAGATGTGGCTGAGTTATGACTGTTGAGGACTTTGCAATCTTGTATTTGAGCTGAAACATATTTGGTGATAATTATATACAATCCAAATGTGCCATGAAGATATTATAGGAAAAAATGAGATGGAATTCAAAAGAGGGGAATAATTTTTGGCAGAGTGATCAAAGAAGATTTTAGAAAGAGATGGCTTTTGAGATAGATCTAGGGAAATGGTTAGGATTTCCTTTATTACAAATTATTAGCAAAAAGACATAGCAAGATGAAGGTATACTTATCAAGAAATTGTATTGACCTTGGTGGATTATTCAGTAGAGAACTTATAAAAGAGTAAAGGCAATAAAGTTGGTGGGGTGGGTTGTTAAAAGACCATGGAAGCTTTTGGATGTCATAGAGAGATTTGTGAGGGGAGAGCTTTAGAAGGCTTTAAAATAGTGAAATGTCATGGTTAGTGTGCCTGCACTGGAAGACTGGTCATCTGGCTGCAATGTGCAGGGTGGACCAATGTCAGATGCAGACCTGCGTTGATGTATATATGTGGTAATGATTCAGTTGCCATCACAGAGTTTAAATAATAAGTGAGGGTAGTAATGAGAAGAAAAACATTTTAGCTAACATACCTCTCTACTGCTTCAAGATATTTGATTTATTCTTTTCATTTACTCATTAATTCTTTCAACAAATGCTACTTGTATTCAGTGGTTTCTGCATGCCAAGCAAAGTGCTAGGGATAGAGAAAAATTGCTTAATGCTTGTGCTCTAGAGATTGTTGTCTATTAACAAGTAATGATTAAGGTGTTTGCCCTGTAGAAAAGAGATGAGGTTTGGGAAGAAGGGATTCTGCTTAGAATTGCGAGTAGTTCATATGCGTGGTCTTCTGCGAGGATCTCTTAGGTGGTCAGAGTGATATCATTGCTTGTTGGATGCATTAAATTTAGTCTTTTGTCTGTAAGAAATCAACAGTCACAAAATTCCTTTAAGAGGAGCAGTAATAAGAGAAATTTTGCACATTAGAAGGGTTGATCTAGTGATAATGTGTAGAAAACTTAAGAGAATCAGAGAATGGGAATATGCCTCGTGATGAGAGGATCAGTTAGGAGACTGCAGCAGTGGCCCATGTGAAAGGCAAACTGCCTTGAGATAAATGGGGATAGGGAAGATGGAAAATGTTCAAAAACTGAGCTAATGGGACTTGGACACTCGCTAGATGTAGACAGTGGAAAAAGTACCGAGGTTGACCTCCAAATTGATGGTCTAAGAGCTGGTGGGTTGCCAGAAAATGAAGCTCAACTTCTGTGATCTAGCCAACATTTAGTTCATGTGGACTGTCCTTGCAGCATAGAATTATAGGAACAATCCTAACCTGTCTTACAAAAACAATTTTATTCAGTCTGACAGAAGGTCAGCATGCAATGTCAGCTTTGGTTAATGCAATGTTCCTAACTGGTTCCTCTCTAGTTCTTCATGATATGGTCACACATGGAGTGGTGGTCAGGCTGTCTTGCTTGAATGCCACTTGGGAAGGGAGCAGAGGTCAGGCATCCTGCTGGACTCACATAGTTCTCCAATTAAGCCATGCTAAATACATTTTAAAGCACCTTTTTAGCATTTTCTGAGTTTGGAGTTTATCATTTAAAATGGCTGCTGGTCTGGAAGGAGTTGTTATTTCTTTATCTGGAGATGTTGGCAGGGAATGGTCAGTTAGGTCGGTTAACACTTGGATTTGAGAAGAAGAGTGGGGTTGACTGGTGCAGAACCTTGGCAGTAGAAGCAGCAGGGAAATACAACAGAGCTTAAACAGTATGGGTATAAAATGTAAAGGAAGTCTCAGATTGACTGGACTGTGTGTTATGGGGAACACTGTGAGCCATGATTTCACAGAGTAGACCTCTTATATCTCACAGCAGGTCTTTCTGTATACCAGGTGTTTCCCTCTAAGTAGGGCAAAAGATGGGACATCATGCAGTGTCACAGATAAAACATCCCTCTGGATATCATTTCAGGGTGTTAATAGCTGACTGTGGACTCTTGAGTAGATTATTTTCTTTCTGATAATCCTTCTTTAGGGGAAATGAAGCAATTTTTGCACTGGTGTGTAATAGGCCTTGGAATTATAAGGGGTTCTTGAAAAATTCATGGAAAATATATGAATCTCAATTTTTTTGCACCCAAATAAATTTATCTTCCAATTCTCTTTCCTATGAAAGTTTGAGGTGCCCATTCAGAATTCCATACCCGCATCCTCTAATTTCCTCCAATATAGAGTGAAATATCTGCATTCTTGAACTTAAACCTTTATGTGGAAAGATCTTCTTGAAAGTGGTTCATGATGTGAAAGGACAAGAACTGTATTAAGATGGGTCTGCCTCTTGGGGTTCAGGGGAGAGTCCTGTTGCTGTATGTCCTGTAGGTAGAGAGGCATTTGTGAGTTTGTCAGCTGAGAAAATGTGAGATTCCCTGACATGTATCAGTTTATTCACTTGCTTTTCCATATGCTAGCCTGGAAAAGCCCTAGGGCTGGGATCGTTTATTTGGTTTTGCACTGTATTGGGGTGGGGCAGAGAGGGGTGTAATAGAGGCCCTCTACAGATGTTTGTCAAATGAATGAATATTTTAATGAGATCAACAAATATCTGAACTTTAATTTAAAAAAAAATTTTTTTTGACAGGCGGAGTGGACAGTGAGAGAGAGAGACAGAAAGGTCTTCCTTTGCCGTTGGTTCACCCTCCAATGGCTGCCGGGGCTGGCGCACTGCGGCTGGCGCACCGTGCTGATCCGATGGCAGGAACCAGGTGCTTCTCCTGGTCTCCCATGCAGGTGCAGGGCCCAAGCACTTGGGCCATCCTCCACTGCACTCCCTGGCCACAGCAGAGAGCTGGCCTGGAAGAGGGGCAACCGGGACAGAATCCGGTGCCCCGACCGGGACTAGAACCTGGTGTGCCGGAGCCGCAAGGTGGAGGATTAGCCTAGTGAGCCGCGGCGCCGGCAATATCTGAACTTTAAAGAATCCTGAAGAAGAATCTAGAGAAATCCTGTAGCCAAAGGGATCGGAAATGGAGGTGGAACACCCTTGAAGAGTCTGAGACCAGGGCCAGAGGTCCATTAAAGCAGATCAAATGCAAATGAGCAAGGATGGGAATCACAGAAAGGAGCTTTCATTACAAGGGGGAGGGAAGGAGGTGCTAGAGTGTGGAAGGGTCAGCTGGGCTTAGAAGGACAGGGCATGTGATGTGATCTTCAGCATTTTGCCTTTGGTCTCAAACAAGTTCTCATCATGAAAATGCTATGTCTTATTCATTATAAATTTCCCAGAGAAAAGCCACCTTTCCAGCTATCCATCTTCTACGTCTTATTTCATAGAAGTGGAGAACTTTCTAGCTGTGGTCAGGTGCAGATGTGATGATGCAAGGATGGTCTGATAGATGTTTGAAGATGAAAGAAAAAGGAAGGTGTGCAGCTTTAGGAAGTGGAAAAGGCAAGGGAATGGATTATCCCTAAAGCCTCCAGAAAGGAAGACAACCTGCTTACCTGTAGATATTGGCTCAGTGAGACCCAGGTCAGATTTATGACCAACTTAAATACAAAGTAATACATTCATGTTGTTTTAAACTGGTGAATCTTGATAATTTTTCCAGCAAAAATAGAAAACTAATACACAGAACATGGTAAATTATATAAATGTTTACAAATACTTCTCTTTCTTCAATTAATACCTTTCCTAGATTTCACTGCAGATTCTTCCATCAAAAGATGAATGCTTGTGCATGCCTTCAATCTGTGCTTGTCATTCTTCCCCTTTTTGGAATGGATTGATTATTGAGGTCATCTCGTCCTTTTTCTGCCTTTGTTTATTGAATGTCTATCTGTGGTGATGAGGAGACAGGATGTGGTTCATTTGGCTTAACAGTGTTAGTTTTTTAAAAGATATTATTTAATTATTTGAAAGAGTTACACAGAGGCAGAAGGAGAGGCAGAGAGAGGGAGAGGCCGAGAGAGGGAGAGGCAGAGAGAGGGAGAGGGAGAGGGAGAGAGAGAGGTCTTCTATCTGCTGGTTCATTCCCCAATTGGCTGCGACGGCCAGAGCCTTGCCAATCTGA